TTGGAGCAACCACCCGAAAACGATGAAGAGACTCTTGCTGTACGAACAAAACCACTCCGCCCTGATGTCGGGAGAGGTGTGACCAGAACGCCGACACTCCAGGTGCAGCTGTGAAGGCAGTCGTCGCCCCCCCCACACTGCTATAAGTCTCGCTGATCCCCACGAAATCATGTCGCCCACAAAGGTCCCGTACATTAGCCATCTTTAATGTATGAGTGTGCAGGTCGTATGCAAGGAGGCCTCTTGCATTCCACATTGCCCCCCCATGACTTTTTTGTTTTTCCCCACCCACAGGAATTTCTAGAGAGCCCGCAGAGTTCCCAAGGCCACGGTCACCGACAGAACCACCATCCCTGCGGCTCCATCCGACGAACCAAAGGCCGTGCAACGGGACACGCAGAACGGCTGGGACAGCCACGAGCGAGAAAGGCAGTGCGAGGCCATGCGGCCGAAACAAGGAGGAGGAGGAGGAGGAGGAGGAGGAGGAAAAGAGAGGGAAAGATGTATTAAAGCGTTGTGAGCGCATGTCCCCATTATCCGAACGATCATTTGTATAAAGTGGCACTCGGCAACACCATACTGGCACAGTGCCGGAACATACCCCAGATTCCTGACAAGTCGCAGCGGAAGAAACAAGAGACAAGACAAGACACTGCCCCCCATAAATACCAGAGGAAGGGGCGGATACAAGTGTTGTAGCAGACGTCGCCACTGTTCGAATTGGATCCCAGAGTGGAGTAGGCGCCAGGTCGCTCAGCGAAGGTCTCGGCGGCACGTAAAGGTAGTCCCATCGGTGGTGGCGCTCAAGGCAGAGCCCGCGCCTCCGCCACCGACCCGATGTCGCCGACGCAGGCAGCGCAATGAATTAAAATCCCATGCTTCCAGCGAGCCGTCCCCCTCGCCGGATGTCCACTGTGGTTAGTGGAATCGATGCCGAGGGGCGCCCAGCTCTCCGCGCCCCCCGGCCCGCTCTCCCCTGCCCCCGTGCCGGAATCTGTGCAGCATTCCCAAGCTCGTGCGACAAGTGGAGACCAAAGACGTGTGCAGTCCCAGCGGCACCCGAGATGCTCATGTCACATGTCGTTCGAACGAGAGGCCAATGCCTGCGCCTGCCCTGGAGCCGCGGCCACAAGCACTACCCCACCGTCCCACTGGTCATCGACACGCATGATATCACCCGGGTGACTCCAACCTAAGACCCATGGAGGCCCAACCGGAAAGAAAAAAAAATGGGGCGCGCCGAAGAACCCAGGGGGTCCGGTTTCCGCGGAGGAAAGAAAAAAACCCTGGCGATGGGGTTCGAGCACGGGGGTTACCCCACCCTCAAATTCCGGAAGAGGAATGAACTCCCAGCCGCGGGGGTGCCCGCGCGAGGGGTCCCACCCCCCCAAGCGCAACCAGAGGAAGAAAAGCGTGAGAGCCGAGACTGTAAGTGCAATGCAACAACACCTTAATCGCGGTTGCACTAGGGATTTGTATTAGTACGGGAACAACTGAATTACAGCCGGTGAGGTTTGGGTTCGGGTTCGGGCTTATATATTGGGAACCCAGTATATTGGATCAGAGAGTTGTTATAGTACCACTTAAACCGGGGAATTGTACGGGGGAGTTGTGCTCGGGAGTTGTACCATGGAGTTGTACTAGTACTGGGGATTGGCGATAGGGCGTTGTTCTAGGGGGCACAATTTTACCAACTGTAATATGAGACCAGCTGCACTCGAATATTTGCACGGCAGGACAACGTGCTCTCTAGGAACAACTGCGCGATAGGACATGATAGTACCAGTTTTACTCAAGTACGAGTTGTACGGTAGTCGGAGGGGTTCAGGGGTTCCAACGGCAACGCGCGCGGGGAAGAAGGAAAGAAATCCATGCGCCGCCAGGGGTCCCGGGTTTAACGGGTCGCCGCGAAGGTTGACCCTCCGCGGAAAGAAGAAAAGAAATCCGGCCGGGGGGTTGGGGGGTTGAGGGATGAGTCACGGGGGCGATCGCATGATGGGTGTGAAAGTGCCCACCTGGGGGACTGAGCCCAGGGACTGCGCTGTGAAATGATGCTCTTCGTCCAGACATCAATGCCGCACCATCGCCTGGATCCACCGGGTCGGCTTATTAGTGAAATCCCCCCTCGCTTGTATGTGCACCTCTGTGCGTGCTTGTCCACACCCCGTAGTCCAGTCACCTGTCATCAGAGCAGCCTGCGCAGGAATACTCACCTGCGGAAGCACCCATGGGCGGCCGCCCCGTGTGCTCTGCCGACATCCGATCTTCATGATCTGTTCCCCAGCGAGCTCCGCCTGCTGAATGAGGGTCCGCTCCCACGCTCTGGCCAGGGCGCTGGTGAGAAGAGCGCCTCGGCGGGTGCTCAAGAAGATGAACTGCTCAATCTTGCCTACCTCCGAGAACACCGCCCGAGAACACCGCCCCGTTACCAATGAAGTCGACAACCAAAACTGCGGGGCCGTCCAGAATCTCGGTGTGGCCGATAACCATATCCGCGATAACTGCCATGTGCCGCCGTAAACTTCGCACTAGCAAGGCATAATGTAGACTGGCGCCGTGTGGCAGCCACGTCGTGTACCCGTAGATGATCGAACGACCTTCACGCGCTCCTGGACTCGCCAGCGGACGGCTCCATTGCGTAAACATGGGCGCGGGCACCGTAGAGGTGGGTGTGCGTACTCCCCTTCTCTGCCGTGCCTCCCAAGAGCCCAAAAAAGTAGCGATTATAGCGCAGTTCGCAGCCACCCGTGGAGTTGCCAGGTCTCGGCTGGGTCCGCGTACTCCCCTACTCCGCCGTGCATCACAGGAACCAGCGAAAGTGGCAGCAGTTGTGCCGTTCGCAGTCCCCCAGGGAGCTGCGAGGTCTCGGATGCGTGCGCGTATGCCCCTACTCCGCTGTGCCTCCCCAGGAGCCAGCAAAAGTGGCGACGGTTGCGCGGTTCGCAGCCCCCCCGAGGGGGCTGCGAGGTCTCGGCTGGGTGCGCGTACTCCTCTACTCCGCCGTGCCTCCCGAGAGCCCATGAAAGTGGTGACGGTTGCGCAATTCGCAGCCCCCCAGGGAGCTGCGAGGTCCAGGCTGGGTGCGCGTACTCCCCTACTCCGCCTTGCATCCCAGGAACCCACGAAAGTGGCGACATCTGTGAGTTCGCAGTCCCCCAAGGAGCTGCGACGTCTTGGCTTGGCCTGCGTACACCGCTACTCCGGTGGACCTCCCGGGAGCCCACGAAAATAGCGGGCGACACTTGCGCAGTTCGCAGCCACCCATGGAACAGGTCAGAAGGAGGCAGGACGAAATGGAAGGAGAAGGAGAAGGAGTGGATACCACAATGCTTTATTCAAAACACGAACCCAAAACACAATATTGGGACAAACCATTACGCGGTGCGTACCGGCTTCTGTGATCATCGCCTTCTCAAGCCTTCAACCCTCACGATCTGATGCAACTAACATGCTTGTCTGCACGTCATCCATCAAAATCCAGCTCCCCAGGGAGATCCCCGATATCACAGATTCGCAGTTCGTAGCCGCCCAAGGATGGCAAGATCGACTCTAGGTTTGCAGGGCGCCACTCCGCTGGACCCCCCCGCAGCCGTCGAACGTGGCAACGGTTTCGCTCTTCGCATACCCCAGGAATGGCGAGGTCTAGTCTAGGTCTGTGGAAGGATGCACTCTGCTGGACCCCCCTGCAGCCCTCGAAAGTGTCAACTGGTGCGCAGTTCGCAACCCCCCAAGGATGGCGAGGTCTGGTTTAGTCTGCGTAACGCGTCACTCTTCTGGACCCCATTAGCAGCCTTCAAAACTGGCGACAGTTTCGCCGTTCGCAGCCCTCCATGGAGGGCGAGGTCGAATCTAGGTCTGCGTAAGACGTCACTCCGTTGGAACCCCCAGCAGCCTCAAAAGTGGCGGCAGCTTTTTAGTTCGCAGCCCCCAAAGGATGGCGAGGTCGAGTCTTGCTCTGCGTAAGGCATTATTCCGCTGGCCCCACCAGCAACCTCAAGCGTGACGACAGTTTCGCTGTTCGCAGCCCCCTCAGGAATGGCGAGGTCGAAACTGGGTCTGAAGAAGGCGCCACTCTGCTGGACTCCCCATCAGCCCTCGAAACCGGCGACAGCTTTGCAGTTCGCAGCCCCCGAGGGATGGCGAGGTTTAGTTTGGGTCTGCGTAAGACGTCACTCCGCTGGACCCCCCATCAGCCCTTGAAGGTGGCGATAGTTTCGCAGTTCACAGCCCCCCCCCCAGGGATGGCGAGGTTTAGTTCAGGTCTGCGTAAGACGTCACTCCGCTGGACCCCCCAGCAGCCCTCGAAAGTGGCGACAATTGCGCTGTCGGCAGCCCCCCAAAGATGGCGAGGTCCAATCTAGGTCTGCGGAAGGCGTCACTCTGCTGGATCCACCAGCAGCCTGCGAAGTGGCGACAGATGTGCAGATCGCAGACGCCCAGGGATGGCGAGGTCTAGTTTAGGTTTGCGTGAGGCATCACTCCGCTGGATTCCCCAGCAGCCTTCGAACGTGGAGGCAGCCTCCCAGCGAGCCCCAGGCAGGACAGCGAGGTAGAAGGCAGGACAGCAGGCAGGTAGGAGGGGACAGGAGGAGGACGACGACCAGGCTCGCTGTCGCGCGTGCCCAACTACCCACCCACCTCCGCCGTTCCTTGCTCCTCTTCTTGTTCACCTAACTTCTTTCCTCCTTCCTCTTCCTCGCGTTACGAGCGACCAAACCACCCCCAGGGCCTAGAGGCGAACCCCCCTCCCTCTCCTACTCTCCCTCTCCTCCCTTTTCCTTTGCCTCGCTCTTCCGCTCCTTCCTTTGGGGATTTGCCATCTCGCCCTTGGAGTGGTTTGGCCCTCCGTTTGTGCTGCTTTACATCAGACGCCCCCCCTCACCCCTATCTCACCTTTTCCTCTTCGGGAGGCTTCTCCCCACCTTCTCCCTTCTCACACTTTCCCTAATAAACCCTCCCCCCCCGCCCAGCCGCGGCGAGGGGGAGCTGGAGAGGTGGCTGCAGGGAGACCCACGACCGCCACCAGCAGCAGCAGCAGGGAGGGAAGGGGAAGGGGAAGGGGAAGGGGGAGGCAGGAGGAGGAGGAGGGAGGAGGAGGAGAGGGCTCCCCTGCACGCTCGGCAGGGGATCGACGACGTGAGGTGGTGTGATGCGGCGCACCTGCAGACGTCGCGCGAGTCCCAAGAAGCCTGCGCGCGCCGACCGGGGCTCCGATCGTGCGCCTAGCCCATCAGGATCGAGTGCATCTGCGGCGACACCTTCAGCCTCAGGCGCTGGAAGTCCTCCTCATACAGTCTGGCGACGGCCTGCACCGTCGAGGCGTTCCTGTAGAACTCGTCCTGCCTGTTATGGGACTTCGACGAGTGGCCGCCGACGGTCTGGCGGGGGAAGTGCTTGTCTATCAGCGCGCTCGCGTTCGGATATGCCTGTATCACCCCCGTGGCCTCGAACATGCGTCTGACCACGGAGTTTGCGTCCTCGCAAGATCAGTGAGCATCGGGTCGGAAGTCGGGCCAGAGCGGAACGTGCGTCGGGTCGGCCTGCCTCGGCACGGAGTCGAAATCGAATCGGATTGGCTGCGCCAAGATGCGAACGAGAATGCCAGCAAGCATCGGGCCACATCGGACCGTCGGAATATCGGAAATAGAACCAGATCGAGCTGGCCAGAATCGACATTGCATCCAGTCGATCAGATCGGGATGAGCCCTGTCCTCGTCGATGCTCCCCTTGAAGTCAACGATGTCGGGGTGGAACTTGTCGATGCCGCAGGCGCGCAGATTCTTGATCATCGGGAACCAGTGCGAGTTGTTCACGGGCCTGCCCACGAGGGCGTCGAACCGAACGCGCTCCTCGAATGCTTCGACCATCTTGTCCATCGGCAGGGCGGTCCACTGGACCTTGCCGAGGCAGTCTTTTCCAGCTCCCTCCACGTTGCCGTACTTGGCGTTGACCATGCACTTCGACCCGAAGGCGGAGAGGTAGCGCGCCAGCGGGTCGCGGTGGAGAAACGCAAACTTCCAACCATTCTCCCTCGTCACTCTGCTCCAGTCGATGTTGAGCTTCGCGGGGCCGGAGTACTCCCATGGCTCCCAGGGCCACTTCTCGCCGTGGACTCTGTTCAACTCGCCGAAAAGGGTGGCGATCTGGTTGGACGCCACCTTCGGCATGTAGCAGAAGGCGAGCTTGGCCCTGGGCAGCAGGATGCGTGCCTTCAGGTGGAAGGGCCAGCGGTCCAGCCGCTGCGCCTTCCCCGCCAGGTCCGAGCGCGTCGCGCGGGTGCTCGGCACCGATCGCTTCGAGGCAAGGGCGTGGGCGCCTGCCATCTGCGATGGTCCGCCAGCTCCGAACTCGTCGCCGGCCACCCACCCGTACAGCGGCTCGCCAGGCCCTGGCGCTGCCCTGGGTCCACTGAGCGCCACCACAGCGCCTATGACCTGGAGAAGAGAGGCTGCTCGGCAGACTGCCGACATGGCCTGCTGTTCTCCAAGACCTGGTCAACAGATATGCTGCACGGCTAGTAACTAACTAATCCGTCGGCCCGCTTTCGGGGCCAACAGGCTGCGAAGATTCAGCAAAGATGCCTGGCAACTCCGCGACTTAGCGTTACATATTTCTGCTGGGTCTATTCAACCTTCAGAGCTTCAGAACTGGAGTGAGTGGTTGCGCTGACTTTGCTCAGACATCAAGGCTCGCTCCTCGGCTCATCAGCTCCTCGGCTCCTCAGCTCGGGTTTCAGGGCCTACTCCGAAAACTTGCACTTGTCCCGGGCTTGCCCTTACTTATTCATCTGTCAAGACTTGCTTAGATCATCCAGCTCCTCAGCTCCTCCCCAGCCTCAGCTGCTCTGAACGCGCGCCACGCGCACTGGGCCAAAAGGACCACGTCAGCGTACCCGAAAAGTGTGGGTCGTACGATTCCCTCCCCTCGGTCGGTCGGAGTCGTAGACTGCGGGCACGCCATGAACGTTCGCGGGGGCAAGCAGACCAGCGAGATTGTGTTCCCGCTGAAAAATGCTGAACATACTTTTTGTGCAACCGACTCTTCCTCGCAGGGTGGCATAGGCAAGGAAGACAAGCGGATTGAAGCAAAAAAGGACCCAGTGTAACGCACCCAAGCCATACGTTATCAACATCTTCTGAGCCCGCCCACAAGATCGCCACAGCGTGCCCGAACCGTGCAGCATCGGCCCCGCCTGGGGCCGTCCTGAAGCGAACCCGTTGCTGCTTGTGGCTGCGAGATGCCTCGTGCTGCCGATGTGGGTCGACTTCGCACCAACAGCTCACCAGAGGTGTCCGAAAGAGTCTTCTATAAGTAGGGGCCTCATGACGCAGACTCCCCTCCAAACCAATATCGTCAAAAACCGTAGGTGTTTGAAAGTATCGCCGTTTCTCGCTCTTCCCGATTCTGATGGGTCTCGGGCACCTTTACACAATCCCAAATTGACCCCCATTTTGCCCCAAGGACGCCCAGGATAACCCAAGAAAGGCCGTAAGACATTCCCCCCCAGGAGCCTTAAGAAAATGCTCCAAGTCCGAAAGAAAATGCCTCATACCATACAGCTTCTCTACGATATTCGGACTGCGCGGCTGGAATGAGCCTCAGACGGTGGGAACCTGCCACTCACAGCAGCTTGTCCCGCGGGTACGCTGGGCGTGCTGAATGTCATACAGCTGTCGATTTGTGCGTGTCATTCCTGCGCAGGGGCCATCGCAATCTTCCCCGACATCCGACGATCATGGTTTCTCCATGCGCGGCCCCACAGCGTCCCGACCCGCTCGCGGGGGGGGGGGAGTTTTCGGCCCGATTCATGTTTGATGGCCCTTGGGCCCGCTAACGGGCCACAATTGGGGAAAAACGCAGGCGCTGAAATAATCGTCTCGTCGGAGAGATCTGGGTTCCCTGCGACGGACGTTTCATCGTGCTGGCTATGCCAAGGGGAACATTTGCCCCGACCCTCCTATGCTGGGTTGTCGTTTTCAATGCAACACTGTGGTCTCCATTCCTTCCATGTTTCCTTCATTCAGTCTCTCATTCCCGCATCCTCCTCCTCGTCCTTTTCCTCCTCTTCGCCCTCATCTTTCTCCTCCTCCTTTTTCTCCTTTTTCTCCTCCTCCTCCTCCTCCTCCCCATCGTTCCTCCTACTCTTCATCCCTTTGCGGTTCCCCGCGGGGCTGCGTGCTGCGAAACAGTCGCCTTTTTTTCGTGGATTCCTGGGAAGCCCCACGGAACGGAGGACCACGCGAACTCAGCCGTGATCTCGCGGCTCCTTGGGGTGCGAAGGGCGCAATTGTCGTCATTTGTTTTCTCCTGTCCCACTCTCTCCGACCGCGCCGCTGACAGAATGCAAACATCGAGCTGTTCATGCCCGACAGCTCCGCTGACGGAAAAAAAGCACCTAGCTGTTTATACCCGACAGCTCCGCTGACGGAGAGCAAGCATCTAGCTGTTTATACCCGACAACTCCGATGACGGGAAAAAACACCTAGCTGTTTATACCCGACAGCTCCGCTGACGGAAAGCAAGCATCTAGCTGTTTATACCCGACAACTCCGATGACAGGAGGAGGAGGAGGAGGAGGAGGAGGACGAGGAAGAGGAAAGCGCTGACCTGCTGCCTGTCGCAGGCGTCTGCCCGCACGGGCCGACCGATACGAATTCCCACTTAAAACGTATCTGACAGATCGGGCACATGTTGCGTTCAAAACTTGATGGCACCAGCGGGCCATCCAGAGGTCCATACCCAAGCACTCGGGAGCCCCCGCGAGTGCAGCTCCAGCCGGAGCGAATCGAACACACTATCCCGCTAACAGAAGGTGGAGGAGCGGCAGCGGCAGCAGCGGCAGGGACAGGCGAGGAGAGGGAAGGGGAGGCCGGGGGGACGGGCAAGCAAGACAAGCCGAGCCCACTAGGGCCGCGGCGGCGGGCGGGCGCCCACATGCGGGAACGCCACTGTGCGCGCGGCGTGGTGCCCGCGAACCAACTCCAGCGCCGCTTGGCCTAAGGTTGAGGCGGCGGGCGTCGTGACGGAGTCCGCATGCTGCCAGCGGCAATGCAATCTATACGCGGCCGCCGTGCGGACCGCCATGCGGACGAAGATGTTCCGGCCGAAACTCTGCACACGGTGTGAAAGCAACAGAAACTCAGAGAGCGCGGAGGGGGAAGGAGGCAGAGCGAGGTGCCGCCAGGCGAATTCCTGCACAACTGGGCACAGGGAGTAATGCTCTATGGAATCCTCGGCGGGACAGCCGAAGATGCAGGCGCGGCGCTGCTGGAACCGGCGTCCCGTGCACCACCCGTTGAACCAGGTGCGCATCAAGGCAGCGATCGCAAGAGGTGCAAGATCTCCTGCGCCCGTAGGGGGCGCGCCGCAGCGGGCAAGCCGATCTGCCAGCGAGCGAGACTAAGGCGCCAGAAGCGCTCACATGGCTCCGGGCGCGTCCGCTGGAGGATGTCGAGGCTTGTCTTCTGCCACGCCCTGCGGCACCTAGCAGCCTGGGCGGGGGCGTCGTCGTCGGCGCCGTTCCTCAGGATGTGCGCCTTGACCCGGGCCGACGTCCATCCGAGCTCCCCGAAGTGGTCGAGGGCATTATCCAAGTGGAGGATGGCGGCGTCCTGGAACCATCGGTCCCACGAGCCCCGCCTGTACAAGAACTCGCTCTGCGTCATGTCCAGCCGGAGTGCCCTCGCCCTTGAGCGCACCTGGATGCTGCCTTCGTTGGGCGCCTCGCATGTCGCCACCCGGAAGCGGGCCGCCAGGGACAGTAGTTCAAGATCTGGGAAGCTGCCAGAGAAGCCAAGGGGTCGGGGATCCCGAAGGACCGATGCCGATAACCACTGGCGGAGGCCTGGGAACAGCTTGGCGATCGCAGCGCGTTCGTGGACAGGCCAGAACTCGGGCGCCGGGAGCAGTTGAGCCACGAATCCGATCACCGAGAACAGGTAGACCTGGGCCGCCAACAACGCGAGCTGGCATCCGCAGCCCACCTTGCCCCACAGCTCGGCCCTCTCGTCGAACTTCGCGAGCGGTTTGTGCCGCGAGCGCCCCCCGCTGCCGGGGCCGAGGGTGAATCCGAGATATTCGGCGGCAGAATCGATCTTCATGGCCCCCCATCGCGGCGCCAGCGCCGTGATCTGGTCCCGCAGCACGGCCGGGTCGGTCTGCCACAGCGGCGCCACCACCGTCTTGCCCATGTTCAGCTCCATGCGCGAGATGAGGGCGCACTCGTGGAAAAAGGTCCGCCAGCGTTGGGATGTCGCGCATGAGCTCTTGCGAAACCAAAGCCAGATCGTCGGCGAAGGCCCTCTGCTGCAATTGCGAACAACAGGGGCGAGAGCGGACAGCCCTGGCGAACCCCGGCCGTCAAAGCGAAGCCCTCGAACCGCTGTCCTCCGATGCAAGTCTGGCAGAAGTTGCCCCGGTACAGCGCCGCGATGAAGTTGAGCATGGCCGGCGGCGTGCCGATCCAGCCCCAAAGCTCCATGATGAAGGTCTGGTCGATCCAGGGGAAGGCGGCCGCGAAGTCGAAGAAGATGCAAGCTCCGCCTTCCTGGGCCAGGGCTGTCGCGCGCATCTGAGCGTCGATGTCGACCACGTTGGCCAAAAATGAACGGCCCCCCACAAACCCGCACTGAATTCCCGAAATCCAATCCTTGAATCTGGATTCGAGGCGAAAGCGGGCAGCGTTGGCGGGGATCCTGTTGTCAAAGTTGGCCGCGTTGATTGGTCGAGCCTTGTCGGCGTCGCAGTAGTGGCCGACCTCGTCGTCGAATCCCGATTCCTTCTTTGGGAGGAGGTGGAGCAAAGAGCTATTGAAGACGGGCAAGTGGATTTGTTGCAATTCCTCCCCGTCGGGGCCGGCGAGGCGGCGAAAAGCTCCGAATAACACGTCGATGCCCAGCTCGCCCAATTCGCATTAGGCCGCCGCCGGGATGCCGTCGGGCCCCGGGGCCGACGAGCCAGAGCATCGAATGGCCTTCTGGATGTCCTCGCGGCGGAGTTGCCACTGCGGCGAGTCTGCCGGTGGCAACCGCGCGAGCACGTCAGGGGTCAGGTCGTCATGAAACCAGCGTCGCCGCAGCGCCTGGTCGGTCGACTTCTTGGCAAAAACCTGCCTCCAGTGTTCCCGAAAATCTGTGGCCATCTCGTCGGGTCGCGCGCGGGGCGCCCCATGCTTCTCCCGCGTGGCCGAAACAAACTCCCCCTTCCCAGGCGACAACCTTGACAGGAGTCGAAGGTTCTTCTGGCGGGCGCGATGCTTGAGCTCCTCAGGGAAGTCCGAAGGTGCCTCTTGAAGACGCGTAAGCTCCGCGATCGCGTGCTCGCGAGCAAGTTCGACTGCGTGCTCCCTGACCGGGGCGAGCCGCCTACCCATCGCCAGTGACGGGTCGTATGGGTTGGGAACCGAGGTACAGAGGTGCGGATGCCGTTCGATCGCCGCCGAGATCGCGTGGGTGGAATGGGACTCCGCTGCTCTGATGAACGCCATGGTACGGCCCAGCTTGTCGCCCGGTGCCTCTGCCTGGCGG